GGGTCGTTGACGACACGACGGCACACTGGAATGTTGAGGATTCTGTAACAGGCCCAAACAAATCAACAAAATCAGCGAATTCGTTAACCCAGCCCTCAAGTAATTCCATTGGATTCCGACGAAGCGAGAATTCTGCTGTTTGTAAATTGATTTCTGTATCGGACGATTGACTGGTGATTGCTCGTAACCAAATTTCATACAAACTGGGCGGTTGTTGTTCAGTTTCGTTGTTTTCCTTCGATAGTCTGAGAAATACGGAATACTTTGAAAGAGCAGATTCCAATGCGGAAGATAATCCTGGACCTTTACGAAATTTCATTTTCGCCAATGCATCTTCCACCTGAACAAATAAAGACAAATTTCATGATGAACTCGGAGTCCTATATTTACCTCTTGTTGCGCTTTCTCAAGAGAAGATCTTTCATTATCTGGAATAAATCGTCCACGTCCGAAACATCCAGGCACTTCTAACCAACGTCGTGTTTCGGTCTCCATTGAGTTCTGTTTGGATTGATGTTGCAATAAATCCAGAGTTTGCACCTGCGCGTTGATCCTTCGACTTCCAGTAAATGAGACGATTCGAATTGTCGCTTCCATGACGCGATCTGCTTCTGTCGAGTGAGTCTCCATCCAGGTGAGCAAGTGACGACGATGCGTTTGTAAAATTCCAAAGAGTTCCATGTCGGGAACACCAAGACTCTCCCCCACAACCTCCTTACAAGGAAGAGTTGCTTCTCCTTGAAAGCGCCTGCTTGGCTCAAGGGCAAATCGATGGTGGGTGAAGACAAAGAAGAGGCTCGACAGCAAACAACTGACGATCGCATCAGTGTAGTCAGACGGATCCACATGAGCAAAAATGGAGGCTATATGGGAATAGAGGGAACAGGCAACAGATAAATCAGATTTCTTAACCGCCTTTGATGCCCAACTTTCCAGCAGAGGGAGCACTTCAGAATGGAGTCGTGTTTGTAGACGCTGATGGACTTCTTGTAAACGTTCAAGATGCTGGTGCCGAATTAAACGCAATCCTCTTGCAAGAGACTTGTATCCACATCGACTGATGATCTTCTCACCATCAGCATCCTTTCTGTTCGCATGTTCCATGTCCCAATAGTTAGAATGATTGATAATGAATGCTATGAATTGATCAACGCCCACCACAATGCGTATCACAAAAAGCAGAAGATTTGTGGAGTGTCCAACGTATTGCCCGGTGTCTTTATCGATGGCAATGTCAAGCATGTCCTCCAACGCTTGGAGAATCGTGTGAGGTGCATACGTCAACTCATTGAAGAGCAGTCCTAGTGGAGTGCTCAGCGGCTCCCGTGATTTGGTCGGAATTTCCTCAGGGGCTTCCTTAAATCGATTCTTTTGCCACAAAGAAGGCTCGAAAAGAACGGCTAACAGCACCTGCTGTAATTCAACGCAAACAAGTGAATCTAGTCGTGTCTCATCAGCGAAGAATTGCAGAACAAGAGGAATACGGATATAAGGGGCGGTTAAATATTGAAGTAGAACTTCGGAGTCCTGCGCTGATAGACGACCACCGAACGAAGGGACTTTCTTCAGATGCAACACATCGTCTTCACTTTCGAGCTTTTCATTTCCTTCCACTAAATTTGTAGGATCAGCTGCACTGGGGGGAACGCGTTGTGGTGTCATTCCAATCCAACCCAAGAATTTCGTCAAAATGTCTTCCCCATGATGACGTTTCTCATAATAATCCTGTTTAACAAATGCTGCGCATTCCAGAGTCATTCCAAACCCTCGGACAGATAACGCCAACTTGGTGGTTGAAGACCATCGAAGAGTCGCATCTGAGACATTCCACCGTCGCAGACGTGGGAGAGTGGAAGCATCTGGCGTCATAAGAGACTGAAAGGAGGAAAATTAAATGATAGCATTGGATATTCGAACCTTACTTTGAAGTAAAAAACAATGTCCCTGAAGGAGGTCCATTCTGGGACGAGATCAAGAAAGTCTGATTGTTCTCCAGTGAAGTGCAGGGGAAGTGCATCAAGCTTCGAATTGAATCCAAATTGCAGGCACACCTGTGAGATGAAAAGATGAACTATGGAGTGACCATGAAAAGCCCTACTTGCTCAATCAGTGCAATATCGCCTTTCCCCAATTCCATTTTGTCTTCAAACCGGAATATAACATGATCATCATCCACAGAACTCCTTAAATCTGTTAGATAGTCTAGAATCTAGAAACAGAACGAGTGTAGCCGGTCAAGTTTTATCATCGTACCTGAGTTCGTGCTGTATTGAGAACTGGATCTGTTAACAAGAAGAACTCGCTTTGATCAGCGAAGAAACTGATATCGAAGACAAATGGCTTGAGGGGTCCCTCAGCACTTCCACTGTAATGTGATCCTAATGGACTTGGGCCATCAATAGCTGGAAGTCTCAGGATGACATCAGCAAGACAACAAAACCCTGCCATGACGGTAACCCGTTGCGCATCAATATGACGAGTATTATGGAGAGAAAAGCAAGAAGACACAAAGTGGCGTGCCAAGCAATGGAGAGTTCTAGAGCAACAAAATAAAAATCATGGGAATGGCACGAACCGCAACAGCTCCATGAAATACAATTGCAACGAGACTGACCTCAAGAGTTCAATTTGTGTTTCGCGACGAAGTTGTTGACCTGCCCAGAAGCACAAAGCGTCACGTTGACGATCCTTGAATGATAAAGGCATCGGAATGACCTGAAGGGAAGAAAGAATTCAAGACCAACAGAATTGATCAAGACAAACTTTCAAGAAGTATCGTTTACTTCTAAAATCAGATGTTGAATGAGTTTGAATCTCAATGAATAGGTGTAGGGCATCAAGTCGGCTTGGTTTGAGAGCAACATGCACATTTCATGCGCCCGCCTTAACGTTGTACAAATATCCTGTAGAGTCGTGACGTGGGATGCCACACTTGCTAGGTCGACTGGTACGACGAGAGGTGACTTCAGAGGTTGACCTGACAGACCACTGAGGTCGTCAATGAGATCGTTTCGAAATCGACCGAACAGTGGGAATGTGGAATGGATGAGTGGCACTCCAAACGTAGGAAGAGAAAGACAATCTGGAAGCGTCGCGATTCCGCCTTGTCCGGTTCCCCGATTTAATTGCCTCTCATTTAGAGCTTTATCTAAATTATCCAATAAAGACTTAAACAATGAAAGATGGCTAGGCGTCAGTTGAAGGCGTGGTTTATCGGTTGTCATTGAGGGATATTCGATCTGATCTGCTTGACGTAATGACTGTTCAGAAACAAGACGAGCGAAATGTCTGAAAGAAAGATCGATTTGTGAAGCTTCGGGGTCACATGAGGGTAGACTACAGAAGATCAAGGTCTTGAAAAATTGTCAATACTCGATCGAATAGATTGCTTCTTACCGCATGGCGCAACGGACAACAATCAAGTGGAAAGCTGAGCAACCGCTGGATGTATCGGTTTCGAAATCGCTGGACGTCGCAACTAGTGCGAGATCATCACGGCAACTCAAACAAACTGCCCACCAAAGAAGAAGAAAAATGATGCGAATCTCTTCCGCTGAAAGTTGGCACGTCGTTTGAAGAATGTAATGCAAACAAGCTGCTGCTCCTGGAAGGGCACTTCCCGCAGTACGTAATGCAGGTGCAGCGTGCCAAGCGCCTCCTCGACTTCCATTTGGCGAGACGATGGCAGCATCTTCGGACAAGGAAAGAGTCACTTCTCGTGTTGGGCATGATGAGGGGCGAATCCAATTAGAAAGAAGCGGCCTGCCATTGAGATGAGGAAGGAGGATTGTATAAAAGGTGTGGATATTTGTGGGGGCTGGCTTCAGTAGAAGGCGGTAAAGGCAGATCCAGAAACTTGAATGGAGAAGACGTTCAGGAATGACATCTTTGAGAACGATGAGAAAATCACGCTGCACCGAACCTGTTGAAAATTGATTATCTTCAATTTGAAAAGCATGAAATTCCGTCCCAAAGCCGGATGCATTGACGACAGCAAACTCGAAGAACTGAGCGCGATCAAGAGGTCGACGAACGATCAAGAGGAGAAACAGCGGGGGCTTATCAGCGTCCAAACCAAGAGCTCCAGGAAGAATAGAAACCCCTCCAGGTTGGATCCCATGAATACGACCAATTGTCTCCGACGCTAACGCAGTGAGATGATCATTCCACTGGGACGGTGTTGAATTGGCGAGCGCGGAAAGTCGTGTCCAATATGAGACGTCCCAAGCAGGATTCCCATGACTCAAACCGAAACATTGTTGTGCGCGTCCTAATGCACTCCGCAGCCAAGGAGGAAAAACGGAGGCATCAACGCATGGCTCAGCCGCGAGCCTATGAAGAAGACGCGAAAGAAGACTGAGGGATCTTGGATACCCCGTGGGATCCACACAGGATGTCCCTAATTGGGACAGAGGAAGACTGAAAGACTCTCGACATGCGAGGTCAAGGAACGCGGGATCTGACCACAAATACGCCATAGGAGGGTGGACTCAGAAATCCCGTGGATTAGGTTGACGATTTTGGGACTTGTGGGGCATTAAGGATCCCACTCATATCTTGGATATGCTTTGATACTGAAAAACTACTTTTTGAGAAAAAGATGACAAAAATGTCAGCAATACCGACAACATATGATGAATTGCAAGATGTCTTCATCGAAGTTGGCCCCCCACGTCTTCCATGCACACTATTCTCTTATAAACAGTTATTTCCAGCGGACCTGAAGACAGGAGGTGCAAGGGCTCATTATGCCAGTTATTCCAATAGGTTCTTCTTTCTAACCTTTTTCGAGTTATTTTGTCCATACCTTCGATCCTTCCTCTCTTTGTCCGGTAAACAAACAGTCAGAGCCTTACGGTCATAGAATTTGTTTGCAATTATCATCAGTCATAGATCTCCCAATCTCTTGACTTGGTCGATAGACTTTTTCATATTTTTGTTCTGTCAAGTGTCTTATCTCGTTGTATGTCGATCTCATGACACTCGAATCGCCGTCAAAAATGGGAGAAACTTCTATACCGCCAACAACGTGGGGAGTTGATGTGGACGCAATAGGTGCATTTTCCCCGTCCGCTTTTCCTCAGCGCGAAGGAAATTATAGAATTGTTGTTCGCGACACGCTCGTCATCAACGTTCCGGCTGGGAGTCTTGTCAATCAGGATGAGGTGCGACTTCTCGTCATTGATGGTGTTGGTGAAGAGTCGTCTCTCGTTGGGACTCCTGATTGTTTGGGAAACTTGCGCTTCGAATGGGTCGCCGTTTCCGCAGGTCCGTGCTCGTTCCGGTTCGAGTATCACCCGTACGCCGCATCCTCTTCTGTCGTTCCGCCAACGCGGAAACGGACCGAGTCAGACCTCGTTCTGCGACGCCAAGGATCCACTGTCGATAACGCGGGTGTTCGTTATGGCGTTGTAAACAAAGTCATCGTTGCTCCACGCATTATCATCAATGGAAAGATGCTCCCAGTCGATGCGTTGTCGATGCAGACTGTTGTTTCACGATGTCTCGGCCCCCTTGACACATGGACCAATCGCCTGCAACGGACATCTGCGGATCTTCATTACAATGTCATTCATTTCACTCCAGTTCAAGTGACGGGAGAATCGGGCAGCTGTTACTCTCTTGCTGATCAACTTGAAATTAGTCCAGAGTTGCTTCCTGCTGGTTCAACGAGTCGAGGTTGGGAGTTGCTTAAATCGGTTGTTGAGGAGTTAGAAACGCGCTACGGTCTGATGTCCACATCGGATATTGTGTTAAACCATACGGCGAACAACACGCACTGGATACCGCATCACCCTGAATGCGGCTACAACGAAAGAAATTCACCTCACTTGAAAGCAGCAATCGAATTGGACGACGCTCTACAGCAGTTCTCGTTTCAAGTTTCTGAAGGAAGATTTAGAGGAAGCGGATTACCCGAACGAATTGAGGACGAGAGCTGCTTGAAAGTCCTTCGCCGTTTGGTACGTGATCGTGTTCTCAATCCGTTCCGGTTAAACGAGTGGTTTGAGATTGACTTCGAAGCTTCGTTGATGGCGTTCCGGAACTCAAGTTGCAAACACGTGGACAGTGGAAAGTCTGATAACGAACTAATCGATCTTTTGTACGAAGAATGTTTGAAGACAGTCGGTGTAGCCCGACACACAGGAGTCTGTCCCAATGGGGATGTGACGAGTCGTATGTGCCGCAGTGATACCCACCTGAGATCGCTGCTCTCTCAAGTCCAAGCGGGTTTGAACCGCCGAGCTTGTGAAGTTCAACACACAATTTTGAATGCCATTGAAGGATTTGTCCGCTGGGAGCGCGTTCAATGCAACAAGGGTCCTGTTGGTAAAACGCACTGGGACGGATTGGTGCCTCGCTATTTCACTCCGATCGTGACAAAGGGTGGTGAGACTCTTCATCTTGCTAATAACGGCTGGGTAATGGATTGGGACGCTGAGAAGGATTTTGCTGCCCCGGGATCTCTGGTTTACTTGAGCCGGTCTCTCGTTGCGTGGTCGGACTGTATCAAACTTCGTTATGGCGATTGTCCCGATGATTGTCCGTTTCTTTGGGATTTGATGAAGAATTATTGTTCAAATACAGCAAAAATATTCAAGGGAATACGATTGGACAATTGCCATTCCACTCCTTTACATGTTGCTAAATATTGTCTCGCTGAAAGTCGCAAAGTGAATCCGAATTTATGGGTCTACGCTGAACTATTCACAGGAAAACGGGAAACAGATTTAGTCTTTGAACGCGAATTGGGACTCAATGCTCTGATTCGTGAAGCGATGCAATCCTACAACGGAAGTAATCTAGCGTGGCACGTGAAGGAGTTTGGTGGACAGTGTCTTGGTGCGTTCGATCCCAGGCCTTCGATATCCCGTTTAATGGACTTTCCTGTTCCGCTTCTTCGAACTTCGTCGCCTTCCCTTTTCTTCGACTGTACGCACGACAACGAGACGCCACAACAGAAACGAACGGCCACCGATGCGCTTCCGAACGCCGCAGCCGTTGCCGCCTCTGTTTCCGCAATTGGCTCATGTCGGGGTTACGACGAGCTTGTGCCACTTGTTCTCTCCGTCGTTACGGAGCGACGTTTGTACCACTCCTATCAAGTGGACGACGCCTCTCTTCCTGCTGGTGGCGATTCTGTCAACTTTGCAACGCAGGCTCGACTGAACACGTCACTTCATCCGGACGCCTCTGTCGTTGTTGTCAAGGGGTCGTGGGACGATTGGACAAACGAAATTCCGCTGGTCCATCGACATGGCGTTTGGACGGGTGATCTTCCATCTCATTACTATCCCGAATCAGTTAAAGGTTTCGTGAGTTACCAAGTAAGTTTGGGGGTCTCTGCCAGAAAATTGTACAGGTTTTGTCATTCGTTAAAATCTTGAAAGTTCTTCCTTCTTGGTTTCATTTTCTTTTCTGTTTTTCTTCCAGTATAAATTTGTTGCTAACCGGGAAGATTGGTTCTTTGACCCAGCTCTTCCACACTCGCGCAATCAGAGCAATCATGTCAACAACATCCTATCGATGGGAGTCAATCCAGTGAAGCAGATTCACCAAGCGAAATTGATCGAGCCACGTCAATGGAACTCAAAGTCTCATGGATTACCCGGTACGATATGGACTGCACTAGGCGTTATTCATCGTGGTTGTGGGTTCAGGTATCATGGAGCCACGCAAGGTTCTTAATCAACTTCATCATCGATTAGCAATCGAAGGATTTAGTGAAGTTGCTGTCGAATCAGCGCGGGGCGATGATATTCTAATCATAACAAGGCACGACCCATCAACCCATCGCATGTGTTACTTCTTCATCTACACGGCATTCAGCCCAGCTGTACTCGCAAATCCACAAGAAGGCGGTGCATTCGAAATCAAGGGATCTCTTGACGAGATTGTGTTGGAAGCGCAGTTGATTGTTCCTCAAGACGCGTTCTTCTTCGATGAGACTCATCATATCAACGGACTTCCTTCGCGTTGCCAATTGTCTGCATTTTCGAAAGATCTCAATTCAAAATTGAACTTCTTTGATTCCCGTTTCGATGAGTGCACCGATGTGACGCACATCAACATGAACAAGGGATTCTGTCCAGGAAGTGTTTTTGTTCTAATGACGAAAGGATACCCCAAAATACACGAAGCGACTGCTCAATCGATAAAAGAGATGGGAAGCATTTTAGAAGCTACTTCGGTATCAACTAAAATTTCGCGGCCTGAAGAACTCCATGCGTTCAGTTATCTGTTATATAGTTGTAATAACGAAGAACGTGACCGTTCGAAAGGAAAGCGTGGTTGCTACGAATTAGAGTGAGCCACACGAGACACGACCATCACGACCTCTCCCTTCCTGACAGAACGATTGGCGCGTTGCCTTATGCTGGAATTGCAGGAATCGTTTCTATCTTGGATGCTCTTCGCTGCTCTGATGAATATGATCATCCACTGATCAAAAATATCGTTGGAGGCGATTGGTACTTTGATTACGCTGCTGACCGTCTCGATACAGACAGTGACGAAGCGTTTTCTGGTGGAACGGTAGTTGTTCTTCTCAAAGTGGCATCTTGGTTACGAGAGGTAAGCCCCTCTGCGAATATCCGTTCCTACCATTGAAATTCGTCTAGGCTTCTGCTGACGCTTTGCGATATCTTCCACGAAAAATACTTCCCGGATATCTCGATTGGATTTTTTCGTCGCTTTACAGTTGGGTAACGCAGCGCTTCATTAGTGGAATGCCCGAACCATTACGTTCTTGTAACGACTTGTTCATGCTCCGCTTGTCCCTTGCAACCCTTCAATTCTATGGATACGTTCCGTCTTCGCCACTCATTCATGGAACGAATCATCCGTCACTTTGCGCTGGTCTCCCACACTTTGCGACCGAGTACATGCGAAACTGGGGAAGGGACACATTCATTGCTCTCGAGGGATGTCTCCTTTCAACGGGTCGATACCAAGAAGCAAGGGAAGAGATCTTGGGGTTCGCTCGTGTCATGAGGCATGGGTTGATTCCAAATTTACTGGATGGTGGAAACAATCCGCGTTTCAATGCACGCGATGCAACGTGGTTCTTTCTTCGTGCGATTCAAACTTACTGCAACGTCGCACCTGAAGGCACGGATTTCTTGTTGGCACCCATCACATTGAAGTATTCAGAGACCCTTGGAGCTGATACCTCTGTGGAAACCGTTGGTGGTTTAGTGCACTTTATTTTGTCTCAACATGCCAAAGGAATCGATTTTCGGGAATGGAACGCAGGCCATCAGATAGACGCTTGTATGAAGGATGAGGGATTCAATATTAAGATTCAACTGGATGAGACAAATGGAATTCTATTTGGAGGAAATCGGTGGAATTGTGGGACATGGATGGACAAAATGGGAAGCTCATACGAAGTATGGAATAAGTACAGAGTTCTATAGACAGACGGCATTTCTCAGTCGCCGATGACCTGCAGCTTCTTTGTTTCTTCTAGGCGGGAAATCTTGGTGTTCCTGCAACTCCGAGAGATGGGGCTGCTGTTGAAATTATTGGTCTTCTGAAATCAACACTACGCTTCGTTAATTCTCTCCCCCGAAGCGTGTGGCTCCACGACATTGCAAACGAGTCAAGCGGATTGACTTACCGCCAGTGGGAATCTGCGTTACAGAACTCCTTCGAAGAGTGTTTCTTCATCGGGTCACCTGAAGAGAACGCCAAAAAACAGGATAAGATTGTTTCCCTTGATCTTGTTAATCGAACAAAAATCGTTCGGGATTCCTTCAATGTACGTCTCATTTGAATGGGTATTCCATCGCTTGCATTTTATTGACAGGCCAGCGAACCTTGGCGCGACTATCAACTCAGACCGAATTTCTGCGTTGCTTTGTCCGTCTCGCCGGAACTGTTGTCAAGAACCCAAGGACTTGCTGCGTTGGAAACAGCCTCTAACGCATTGCTGTCAGCGAGGAATGCGATCGCGGTCGAACAGGCGCTGGAGGGATTCAGGGGACACTTCGATTCCAATGACGCGTCGGAACTTCTTCGTCTGATTCCTCAACAAGATCAAGATGAGGCACTTCTTTTTACAAGTCAATTGGGTATGAAAACGTTGGATCCATCGGATTACAATTATCGTCCGGATTACAACAATGATGATCGATCACTCGATGCTAGTGTAGCGCACGGTTTTAATTACCACAACGGACCCGAATGGGTTTGGCCCTTGGGACATTTCCTGAACGTAAGGCTTATTAGAGGCTGAGTTGATCTTCAGTAAGGATGAGTCAGATATTTGTTCCTTCGCAGGCTTTGTTCACGTACCAGAATCAATCAGAATCAGAGGAAGATCAACCGGAAGATTTTCGTCTTCAAAGGGCGCGATTTCATACGATGCAGTATCTGCTGCTCCATCGACGTCATATCGCAACTGATAAATGGCTCTCTCTCCCAGAATTAACAAATCATAACGCACGGTAAGCAGTCTTTGTTGAACCATTCTTTGTGGAAACTTCTTCAGGTTTTGTTCTCATTCATGTCATGCGCAAGCGTGGTCTATAGGAACGATTTTGGCTTTCCTATCTAACGTCGCTGCAGCATCATCCCAGTTACAAAACGGTGCGGAAACATTAACTAGAGCTTCAGAGAGCACACCAATGATCGAGATTCAAACTGTTCCAAAAAAGAGCAAACGCTCCAAAAATAGATAGAGTCCTACTAGAAGAATCTTACTTGCAAAGCATCATGATATTTTATGTAAATTGTTTAGTGACAGATGTATCCAATCGTAATTCGACTCGTATGGTTATTTTGACAAGTCTTCATCTTTTTCTATTTTCATGCTCAATCTCATCTGAACTAATCTTGAACTAATAGTGCACTGCATGATGCAAGCGCCTGGTCGCGAAGGTGTTGTGTTGATGCAGAGGTTGCAGAATTTGGATTGTTATAAGAAGCGTTCTTTGTACGATAAGAAGCGTTCTGCCAACAATGTTGCAAAATAACCATCTAACAATTCGTTTGCAACTCTGTTTTTCATCAGTAATCTCCCAGGCTTCAATCTGACCGCGCTCTTGCCTCCAATTGAGTATCGCTGCACTATTCATTGCTACCACGCAGGACAAACGAACTATCAAGAAATCAGTCGCCACAAATTAACAATCTCTAGTACCAAATCATCTCTACATTTAAATTGCTTCAGATTTCGCACTTTTGAGGAAGACGAAACTCATGCTGTCTAAAGCTTCGCTAATACTCCCATTCTCTCGGCCAATCCCTCTGCGGCTCCCAATGCTGATTTTTTTAAAGTTGAAACCTCCCAGGAAAACGCTTCCTCCTTAATACTTCGATAGAGACTTTTGTTCTCCCCTTTTTGAACCTCGCGGAGTGCGACAGCTTCGGCAGATCGCTTCACTTGATCTTCAGGAGAACGAAAGATGTATAGGGACATTCTATCTGAAGCAAAATGTTCACCTGGGGGAACAATGTCGTCCACTAAACCACACCGCTTGGCTTCAGGACCACTATAGCGTTTTGCTCTTAGCATCAGATCAATCCAATGAGTTCGATCCGCTTTAACGCGGACGATAGCAGAAAGTCCTAAAAAAAATTGATGAAGGAGTTGGAAGGAGTCTAAGCGTTAATACCACGTCAGAGCGAATCCATTACCTGGTGTTAATGGCAACCCGAGTTCTACCTCGTTTATACAAATAAAACCTTTTTCTGAATTCATGATTCGATAGTCACAACAGAATGCGATCATTGCAGCTCCAGCAAACTGAAAGGGGAATGAAATGTTCTAGAGCACATTAAAATGAACCTTACAGCGTGGCCATTGATTGCAGCGACTGTGGGTACACCGAGTGTTAGAGTGTTGAGTAGGACTGCAAAACATGCGGACAACAGAGGAGTTCAACTAAGTGATCTTTATGGATGATGATTCATGTGCATGACTGTTGTCTGACCTCGATGAAACAAAGTTAGAAATCCTGGCGGATCTTCAGCAAGGGCCTCAAATGACAACCCATTAGAGAAGAACTTGGGACTCGCTGATATGATGATGAGAGCCGTCGGT